AACAGATTTATTTTTTTAATGTCTTTAAATTCCAGAATAGGCTTAAATGACAATATTTGTATAAATAATAAGATGCTAAAACCTTGGACAAGATTTGGGTTCTTAATCCTATTCTGTTGCATCCATGTCCTTTAAGGAATTTATATAGATTTATTATACAAATACTAATTTGGTGTTGACTAAGAGGAAAATTTATATCCTCTCATAATTTTTGTTTGCATTTTCAGGATACAAAAGGTTTTACATAATCTGTTTCAACTACTGTATATTTAATTTCTACAACAAACTGTTCCTCTTTGAAGAGGAATATCACACTGTAAGCACCAAAACTCTGAAGCTGGAATGAATTGTTGGGGGTTTTTTAATCTCTTTTAGGTCTGACAGCTACAAAGAACTTTCTCCTTCAATATGGGCAATTTTTAAAAGAGCTTGACCTTTCTATTTTAACCACACTCTGGAATGAGAAGTATGGTAGTAAATTCGACTGTGTGACAACTAGTTCTGAAGACGCAGAAATTCGTGATTATTTCTTAAAACCACCCCTAGAGAAAACCCGTTGTTTTATATGGCTGTTAGAAGACAATAGAGAAAATTTTCCATTTCTTCATCAAGCTTTAGATGAATTCTTTGATAAAATGGGTAAGTATGCCAAGGTCATCATTCTTACAAGCATTGAATTTTGTCTGCTTTTACACCACATTTGATGGGCTCTGTAGAAGGCCGAAACCTCGGCAAACTACTAACCGTCTCATTAGATGGGATCTTCTGTGTTCAGTGCTTAAAAGGCAGTATGGCCTCAAAAGGCAAGCCACCCGTTTTTAGGTTACATTCTGCTGTTTTGTTTCACGTGCCACAACCAGCACGTGAGTTTACCTTTATGCGTAATATATGTTGTCCAACCAAAATAAGTATTTGTCTTTCAGTTTAAGCATAAAGATTCTGCAACTACAGTCTTTGAGATGCTTTGGTGGTATTTGATAAAGGATTATAATAATTACTACTGTAATTTCATAGCTCACCATTATAAGTTACATAAAATATTACTGTTTCTGTTTACGGATGTGACTTTGTTATCCTTTCAACAGATGACCCTACTGTTATATTAAAGAAGCAGGGAAATGAAAATATATCGGTAAGTGAACTTAACGTCTGTTTGGGATAAGCTCAGAAACAAGTATGAGTGTGGTGGTTTAAAAATGTGCAAAAGTGAATAGAGAGGTGCATCTCTTGGTTTATTTTGCATCATCATCCTTCAGACCTGATGAGAGATGTACTCTTTTGTTTTATCTTCTCCCCCCACCCCCCCTTTTCTTAAAGCATTTGAAGACTGCGTACCGTCTTTCCTAAACTTCTGTCAGTAAAATACTTGTTTAGGGTCTTCTCCTTAGTTAAAACACAAACCAACAAGATACCTTTTAGATTATGAGCATTTCAAGGACGCAGATGAGGAAGTTGTAGTGAAAGCAGATGAGGGTACACTGACGCGCTGTATCGCCTCCTTTGGATAGGGAAAATAAGGCAAATACGGTGCATGGGAATAGTGTTTACATATTACTTGATAACAGCAGTTTGTGTTAACTTTAGAAAAAGTCTCTCTAAAAGTATCCCTGGGGAATTTAAAAAAAAAAAAAAGCACCCTATTTACAGAGAGACTCCTACTAACTGCCGTATCTGCATATTTACCATGACAACTGAACTTGAAGCCCGATTCTTCCTCGAGTGTGCTTAACTTGAATCTGCATAATTTTGGACACTAATTGTACTGTATATTTTACAGTTCAAAGTAACAAATGGGACGGTAGCGTAGCCCAGCTTTACCTTCAGGTGTCGTTAAATTGTAAGGCTAGGAATTTGACGTTTGTTCCGCTAACAAGCAAAGTAAATTTGAAGTGAGTTTAGACATATTTTGCATTTGATCATTACAATTTATCAATGCTTTTCAGATTCAACCCATAAGTCTTAAACTGTACATCATTCTGAATCACTTTTTGATTAGTATCTTAATGAAAATCCATTCTAATTGGCAGAAGTATGTTACGTATTTCGGTTAATTATGTGTTTGAGGCACTCTCGTTTGAAATTATTCTAGCCTGCAGATAAATTTATCTGTACAAAAGCAAGATTTACTTCTGCTACAGAATAAATCTTTAGAGTTAATTAATTAATATACATCTTAATAAGATGTGAAACCCTTTGCTTTTTCATGTCATGAATTGGAAATCCGAGAATGAAATGAAAGCCATTACAATAAAGCTACTTCTATTTCAGCGTTGCTTATATCCTAAAATAAACTGTTCTTAAGTTACTGTTAGTAGAGTTATGTTAATGTATAATCACAGTCCTGTTCAAAAGAGAAGATGCATTTTGGTTCCTTCATCATTGCGTATCTCAGAAAGCTGACGTGACCAGAACGTTTGACAGTTCTGTTTGCTGCTTGTTCCCCAAACGAAACTCTGTCATGTGGGATGTCAGGGCTGCGTAAATATGCAATTTCAGCTATAAGTAATGAGTAAGCACCTGAAATACAAAAAGGATACAATATTCTGTTTCTAAAAATCAATGTTCTATGCGTTTAAAGAGGAAAATGATGAAAAGAAACAAAATGAATAAAATCTTGCAAAGCTCTGTTCCCTTTTGTGTTTTCCAGCTGGGGATGGAGTGGAGAGGGGAAAGATTGCATGCTTAACCTTGTAAATCTTGCTGGTCAAACCCGAATGAGAATTTTAATATGAAACGTCTTAAACTTTACATATTGATTTTGAAAACGCATCATAGTTTTATTCTAATGAAAAAACCAGTGACTTTATTTTTCTGTTTCAGACTAACGGTATCAAAGTCAAAAACAAAAACAGGAAGAAGAACTCAAAAGACTCAAGGGTCAGTAACTTTTTAGCGGCTTACTACAAATGGTTTTTTTAGAATTGCTGGCATTCAGATGGACAGAGGCTGGTATCCTAAATACCTTGTGGAGACTCATTCTTGAAGTAGTTTTTCCTGAAGTAAAATAATGCTGTTAAGACTCAATCAATACAGTTTTGTTTTGTTAAAATATGAATTTGTCAGAAAAAGAAGTTACTCATAAATAACTTTGGCTCTGACTGGATACCAATACGTTCAGTCTATCCACTGTCTTCATTCTGAATGACTGTTGTGATCTTAATTTCCCATATGGGAAAATGAAAAAACCCCCTGTGAATACAGTACACTGACTGCACTATGTAATTAATACTTTACGCTCCATTTCCTTTTGCACTGACAAGTAGCAAATTTGGAGAAGGACACTTTACCAGTCATTCTCAGAAAGAAAAATGTGTCCTTACACCTCATGAAATAGATCTGAAATTATGTCTTTAACTGTCTTTTCTGATAATTTTTACGGGCGTATCAGTGACTGAAGATGCAAGCATTCCATGTATTGCTCAGAAAAATGTTATTAGTTGTTCAGTAGTTTATAGATTTTGCTAGGAATAATATCCTACCTGAAACTTGTACTGCCTTTTGTCCTGCTTTTCTAGGATTTTGCTTTATCGAAAGCTTCAGATACAGTCGTCTTTGTTTCCTCCATGTCCCCACCTTTTTATAATTTTACTAGAATTTCAAGAGTAAACTTAAGATTTTTTTCCTGTCCTCATCAGCCAGGTTTTTCTTTTTCTGACTTGGATGCATTTATACAAGTCTGTATATTTCTAAAGTTATTAGATGATAAAAGACAACTAAAACATTTGTAATGGTGAACGTAAGAATAACAGGTGTCATATTAAAACCATGTGGAACTAGGGATAGCTCAGACTTACTTGTAGTAAAATTATTAAAGCTTGGAGGCTCTCAAATGTAAAGGAAGAGATTCCTAGAAAGGCAGGGGAAAGAAGTTACACAACAGTCTTAACAAAGTGAAGCTATAGTGTTGTTTTTTAATCCAAACTCAGTGAAAAATCAGGCACAGCTAGGTTTTTGATGAAACTGGTTAAAAAAAAGAGGGAGCTTGGGCTGAATATCCTGATTTCTTTTTCCAAAATAAGTTCTAAAGAAGAAATTAATAATTTTTAATTAAGAACTTTCTCGATATGGCTTAGTACTGATAATTGTACTTAAAAGTTTTGCAGTTTATAATATGGCATCTGAACATGATAAAGTTACAGAACAAGGTTCAGTGTAAATAAGTTACTCATAGTCTTTACAGTGGATCATTTTGCATATACTTTTGTGAGATAAAAAAATAATAATCTGTTTTTAATTAGTCTATTTTAGTATTATCCAGTGGCGTTAGCACAGCACCACGAGAAGAAGATAAGATATTTATAGAAGAAAATACTTTGTAAGTACCATCATGCATCTTTGCTTTTATTGCCCGAACTCCAAAGTGCTTTGCAGGTACCGGAGAAGACAGTCTTAGAAACACCGAGTCTGGGTTAACATCGGAGTGTTTTGATATGAGCTTGTGCAGAGCCATTACTTCTCTGCTTCCAGGACAGGTGTAAGGGGTATTAGAACTTTAAAGCTCTTAACAATGTAGGAAGTAACCAAATGGTTGCCAGGCTGCGGCCCAATACATCTTCTAGGCCAAAAGCTATTCTTTCAAGTAAGATCTTGCTTGCTTCGTGTTCCATTTTCACGTAGCAAGAAATTAGTTGATAGATTTGTACATACTGCATCAGTCACAACTGAACTCTGCCATCCACGCCGTATCAAGCAGGTTGTGATGTTGAATTGAGACACTCTGTAGTGCGTTGCTCAGAATTTGTGTTATTCAGGAGTCAAGCTCTTGTATTGTGAGCCCGGTTTTGCTCTTGCCTTATGGATGTGAAAGCTGCTAGGCAAGAGCTAGGCCTTATTATTATTAGCTAGTGGCAGGTCAGTTAAGTTTAACGGTGAAGTGTTTTGGGGATAGTGTTTATTCTGCTTGTTAGAAAAAAGTTTGCTATTGGGGTATATTTTTAGCACTATGTAGTTACCATACAGTACACTGTTTTCAGTATATGTGAAAAATACAATTCTTTTCAGAGACCAGAATTATTGTTCATATGCACTATTTATGTCTGTCTTCTCTCTCTCTCTCTTTTTTTTTTTTTTTTTAAAATGCTACAGAGATTTTACAAATTCTTATGAACCATTTGTAATCCCAGAACACCTTCGGGGGCAACTAGAGGAATTTGAAGCTCTCTGTGACATTTCAAATAGTAACCATTATCAAAGACTTTTGGATAATAACCCAGATCAAACCTGTGAGAGCTTATATGAGTATGTATACGTTTCTGTGCTTAGCAGTTTAAAGGGTTTAATATTCCTTCATAGTTTTTATAACATACTGTACTAAGTGCAGAATTTGAGTCCTGGTATATGTAGGTATGTACCTAAAGGTATGTACTAATGCTTTGAAATAGTTGTATGTTTTTAGTAAGATGTGGACGAGCAAGAGTATTACAGAAAATTTTTATGCTTAGCTAGAACACCATCTTCCAAATGATCGTTCTTCAGTAGCTCTAGAGGTTCTTTGCTTTTAAGTATTATTCTGAAAACGTAACGTGTGAAATACGATTTTAGAATTACATGAAAAAACTTTGCTTAATAATGACAGCCCTTTTTTTTTTTTTTTTTAAGATATTTCTCTCAAATCCTGGAAAAACATGGTCCTATGGAAATGAATAATAAATTACTAGTTGGGGAATATGAACATTTCCCTGAAGAAGCTCGAAAGATTGTAGAAGATGAAGGTGGTCTGAAATCTTTTCTTCTGAAATCCTTTCATTTCATTATGGTGGATAATCTTATTTGCTTAAGAAAGCATGCGCTTCTTATTAAAGAAAATACAAACAGAAATGAGACCGGAGGTAATGAAGAAGAAAACAGTATAGTCTGTGATGTGCACGAAAATTCTTCCCAGAACAAGCTACAGTTAAATCCAGCTGCTAAGGAATTCAAACCGCTGTTTTACCCTAAGCAACCCCATATATCAACATCTACTGACTTAACAGTAGCAAGTTATGAGACTCCACAGTATTTGCCCATGTCTTTTCCTACTTCATGTAAATTGGTGCATTCTTTGCATAGTCAGAATATTGATACCGCAGAAAATGAGCCGTCGTTTTCAGACATTTTACTAAAGTGCTTCGATTCTAAAAATCCTGGTATATTTTTGCCTCAGACTTCCTGGGGTTATCAATATGAAAGACTATTGCCGGTGCCTTCTCAAATGCCTCTCATTTCAAATGTTGCCAAGCAACCTAGTTATATTTATGCTGATCATGTAGCTCATCAGGATAATGATGAATCAGCAATTTCAGATGGAAAATACGTCTTCAGCAGTTTTATACCAACTGAAATACAAACGTATGAAGACCCTCAGTGCCAACTGGAGAACGCGGATAACACATTTTATGAAGACAATTTTGCTGTTGCAAATAGTACAAATGAAGCTGAATGTGGTATACAGGTTATTAAGACGGAAAAAGAAAGCAGAGGTATACCTCTAATGAAAAACAATCCTCATACAAGGATGATAGCTGTTCAGGTAAGAAATTAAAGCGGAACCGTTATTTGAGAACTTTTAAGTGATAAATGACAGTGTTGAGCACTGGAAAGTGCAACTCCTTTTTGAATGATTTCTTCATGACTTCCCAAAGGGTCAAATGTTGTATAGTTTCAAAAGCAAATATTCAAGTCGTACTTTCAGCCCAACCCCGAATGTAAGGGATCTTAAAAGTAGTATTTAGCATTCTCTAGTACTTACCTCCCCAAAAAAGGCCACGAGTTGGAAGATACTGAGGTGTTTATCAGACTGGGAACTTCCTTAGAACTTGCAGTTTAGTTGCTGAAACTTTCTGCAACTACTCTTGGTTTTCATATGTAATTCTTTAAAGAGAATTGTTCTGCCTGAAATTTTTGCAGATCTTTTGACCCCAGAGCAAAGGAGGGAACTCGTGCATATCAGTTTAAACTTCGCTTTAGAGGTTAAGGAAAGTCCTTCTGTGTCATCATTTTTCTTTTTGTAATTAGTTCAGTGATTTGTTTTAACTTTCACAATATTTGAGGATTTAGATAGTTGGTACGTTCTAACAATTGCTGGCTGATGCTTCCCTCGTGGTCTTACAGTGGCAGCCCAGCTGTAGGGTGAGCTCAAGGGCAAACTCCCTCACATTTTTCCTTTTCCCTCCTGAAGTAAAAAAAAAAAAAAAAAAAGTTTTGTCCTACAGGCAGAGAAAGCATTGCTGAACACCCTGAAAGGGGCAGGGCGTGCAGGTGAACGGAAGAGGGGCTGGAGCATTCACTCTTTAATGGTACCCCAGAGTCAGATCAGCATACACCACTCATGAAGACATGCTTCGAGTAACAGAGGGAGACAATGGTCACATGCACATTTGTTACAGAAAACATTTTGGATTAAGATGCCAGGTTTTCAGAGAGTTGTGGGTATGGCAATTTCACACATCCGTTTATGAGACGTTATCCAACCTGCTAGAGGGACTGCTGGGGCAGAGTTCCTCATCTTCATTTGTTTCTTGTCATTAAGGGAGGAATAGCTGTTCATAGCTGTAAGATAAATAGTCGTCTTTTTATTATTGCTTTCTAAGTAAGGAAAATGTTAACATGTTTTTTTCAAACTTGTTTTGTGTACAAAACTTCTCTTCGCTTTAAATCTTTCCTGAGCAGTTGCTGAAAGTTACTTTGCCATCAGTCCTGGCAGATGAATTTCGTCACTTGGCTGACTGGGCTTTTAAAATGGAATTTCTGTTTGGTTCCTGAACACATGCCACAAAGAGATAACAGAAGAGGCAACCGTTTTCAATGTAGTGAATTCTGGTTAGCAGAGATCAAAAGAGCACCAGGCAACAGATACGTTTCTGTTTGCAAAAGTGTGGTAGAGCAAGGCATTTAACGTTATCTGTGATTTTTAATAGCCTGTCAGAATGGCAACATCATCAACCGGATCTTTAATATGTTGCATGATTAGATTTTAAACTTCAGTACTTTCCGTAAGTCCTTGACGGTTGGTATTAGAGGAAAACAAGCAGGGCCTCTGAAGGTCATTGAGACTAGTCCCTTCTAAGTAGAGGCACTTAAGTAGTAGATCTTGAATTTAGGAGGAGCCACAAAACACAAAAGCTCCTCAGTGAGCTGTCAGACACTGTTTTGCAGTGTTAAGTTTTCAGACATTTAGAGCACAGCTGTGTTTAAAGACTTTGAGAACTGTTCTTAATATAAATGCTTCATGGTCAGTTAAACAGGGGAAAGATCACGACAAGAAGAAGTGCTTTCATTAATGATTGAAGTCCATTTCAGAAACACTTGCATAATTTCTTTTTACATTGTAGATAGACCTACTTCATAATGTAGTTGGACTTGTAAAATTGTAGGTTAGGTACAAAAGCTCCAAAACAGAGCTCACCTACTAGTTGCATGTATAAACTGGAAAGCTTTTTAATCAACTAATGATTCTTTGTATTCTAGGTAAATCATGAAGTAGCCAATAGGGAAACTAATACCTTGCCTTTTCATCCGTTTGAAATGCAACAAGTAAGTTACCTGCATATTTGTTTATATTTCTCATGAAGGTTAAAGGAGTGCCCAAAAATTCAGTAGTGAAAGGATAATGGTTCTCTGAAAATGACATGTTCTAACAGGTATTTTTTATTTTGGTTTGTTTGGTGGTGTGTCTGTGGTTTGTTTTTTGGGGTGGGTTTTTTTGTTGTTTTTTTGGGTGGGGTGGGGGGGGTGTTCTCCCCCCCCTTCATGTTGGGCTGTATTCTGTTATGTTCTTGGAAACTTCATATAGGCCCACAACAAGGCGGTTTTGGAACTTTGTTCTGTAGCTATTCAGATGTTGGAGTATGTTTTGGGGAAATTTAGTATTTCCTCTCCAAAAATTTTGAGGTTTGATTTAAATACTCCATTTGGGCATATAGACAGCTCAGACTGAAGTTGATGGTAGTCTTATGTCTGTACAAGGAGATAAAAGTGAGAAGACGTGGCCTTTGAACTCATCATATTCCGTTCATGGTCAGACAGGAATGCTCATTTCCTGAGCTGGATTGTAACTGTTACACAGCTTTCTCTCAAACACTCCCCCACCAAACCAACAAGCAAACAAATAAAAAACCCCGCTCGAGATGTTGAATCTCAACTGACAGCAGACTGTTCCTTTTAGACGTCATGAATGTTCGCTGCCCTGTGGTAACAGATACTAGATTGTTTTTTGTAACTGATTTATTTTCAGGGAGATATTCTACGTATGGAAAAAGAGCATCAGGTATTAAAAGAACAACTCAAAGAAGCACAGGAAAAATATGAACAGTTAGAAAGCCGAAGCTTGGAGGAAATCAGTGCTTTAAAAGAGCTCCTAAAAAAAAGTGTTGAAGAGACTGAGGTAATGTTTTTATCCATGCAACAGTGGGACAAGCTGCAGTGGCTCACAAGATTGGTTGTAACTGATCAACAGAATTTTTGAAACTTGAATGGTAGTCCTCATTGCTGTGAAGTCTAACTCAGCAAACCTCACAATCTTTGTGTGTCATCTTCCTGCGAACACACTTAGACACACAGGATACTGGTTGCCTCCATCTAGTGGATAGGTACTGGTTTTGGTTCAACCCCAGAACAAAAAAGCAGTACGCTGCTGACTCTTTCCTCCTTGATTTGTTGGGTTTGCTAACGGGCTTTATTTCCATGAACATGTCCGGGAGCAAGAGGAGTAGTCCCCAGGCAACACTACAGCCTATTATCACTTTGACTTGATTACTTCTATAGTAAAAGCTGTAGATGCTGCAGGCTACCCTCTTGTCTACATGAAAAGGAATTTTTCCATTAAAAAAAAAAAAAATCGGGTGAGACCGAAGCCATCTCTCCCCATGCCCTCTCTTTAATCTTTAGTAAGATGGGGCCTGTCATTCAATTTCAGTTTAATGTTTTTTTTTTTTCCTTTCAATGGTGTGTTGGAGTAAACTCATGTACTGCAGCTTTGGGAGCTCCGGAGTTCTAGCTTTACCATTGGCTGCAAGTAGCCTGGCAAGCTTTAATACGAGGGATGATGGAGTCTCACGTCTATTTTTCTGTATGAATATTTGGTAAAAATGTGAGCTCAGAAAATTTTGAGCGGAAGGCATGGCTGTATGCAGGGTGGATGAACTTGTCCACGGGCATTGTAGGCGCTTTAAATTTTTTTTTTTATTTCCCAATGATGCATTAATGCTACTTTGTTTTTTTTGAGCAGTTATGGCAGCCATAAGATTCACTGCTGTCTTGCTCTCTTATTCAGTACTGATTTTGAGCTGGATTTTTGAGTTGGATTTCAGTACGTATTTGTACGTGACACTGTGGAACGGGGTTTCTTCTTTCATGTGACTGCAAAACAGGGTTGCAAGTATTCTGAAGCCACGTAAGTGAGGTGTGCAGATCATTGCAGGAAAGCATTTATGCGTATGTTGCCCACGCTAAACACCTGAACTAATAGTAAATTAAGCACTAGTAAAACTATTACTGTAATTTTCACTGGTTTAGCTTCTGCTCTAACTTGCATTTGAATAAAATAGTGTTTTCAGAAATAACGTTTCCTTATTTTCTGCTTTTAGGTATCAAAGAATGAACTGGATTGGCTTCATCAAGACTTAGAAATAAAAGTGAAAAAATGGCAACAGGAGAAAAAAGAAAATCAAGAGAACTTAAAAGCACTAAGGAACACAGCTAAAAAGCATACAGATACCAACGATAGGTACTAATTTTATATACAGATTTACACCGCTTGCCCTTTGCTTGATTTTAATTTTTTTTAAAGCAGCAGTAAGTACGGTTATTTCTGATAGACTATGGTAAGTTTCAGTATCTACTGATTCCATGATGTACGCAGAGTGAAAACTCAAACTTGTTGCCCTGATTATGTCATTCTGAAATGAGTTACATGCAATTCTTGGATTAGAGCTGCTGTTAATAGGATCTACCTACAACATTATTTAACCTAACTAATAAATACTACTCCTTCGCTATTGAAGATCTTCCCACGTTTTCCAGAATCCTTTAGATCTGCACTGCTTTTTCGCTTTTCTCCTTCATGACATACCATCGTTTCCTCAGCGTGCTCCTCTGCACTTCCATTCTTCCTTCTTCTATTGTACAATCAACCCACCCGAACTCTGGTCTGCACCTGTTTTTCTTACACGCGTTTTGTCTGTTCTGCCACATAGCCTGTCTGAGGGTCATCCAAGGATGCATGTTTCCTTCTTTTCTAGTCCTGTCACTCATTTCTCAGATTCAAGTAAAACTGCAAGAACCACATAACTGCAGGTATCTATTGTGGTTTTTTTTTTTTACCCATCCTTCACCCTGAAACAGAAATCTGCAGGGCTTTCCATGGAACTTAATAATATCAATGTATGAATCCCATCGTGACACTTGTGCAGCGAACCCAGCAGTTCCCCTGGCAATGAGCTCTCCTGGCTATGGAGGAGCAAGAATCAACTTCGGTCAACTTCTACCATAGTCAACAACCATCCATGAGATCACGTCACTGACGTGCTGAAAAACAAATCGTGTGTCATTTGATGAAGTATTATCAGTAGCTTTATCGGAAACATTCTAAACACTTCAGAAATCTTTAAGTAACCTAATCATTGGCTGTGTAACCAACTAGATGTTTTATCACGGTAACAGGCTGAAATATGTGCATGTCTGCCTTAGTATTTTGATTTTTTTTTTTTCTTTCAAGTTACAGGTAAACATTTAAAATAGCTTCTAGATAACTGATGAAACTGGCTGACTTAGCGATAATTTTTCTAATCAGATTTGACAATTCCTACTGTATTTTTAATGTTCTTTCTCAGTTTACAGACCTGAGAAGACTTCTGTCCTTGAATGCTGTTGTGTTATCTTTAGTCTGAGTAGTTTGGGCCAAATCTCTCTTGAAAAATCATTGGCCTGCTTTTATATTAGTTACTGCTTAATTAGGAATACATTTAAATGCACTTACAGTATTAAACAGCATATAAAACACAGATTGTCACTGCTGCATAATTGTCACTATGGTTATAGAGGAACGTGTCACGTACTTGCTTGTGAACATTTTTCAGAACAAGCTTAATAAATGTTTGATTATTCTAGGTATTCGAAGACCATTGATGAGAAGGAAAAGCAGTATAACACATATTTGAATACATACCTCGAGACCAGGTAAAACTCTTGTACCTTTCAGCAATATTTACATTTTTCTACTGACTTGTCGTTTTTGGAGGTGTCTGCTTCGCTCTGGGTGAAGGCTTAGAAAAAACAAGCACTTTAACCTTATCTCTTATTCTCAGTTAGTTTACTTTTACCTATCATAAGTCAACATTATTTTCTTTTAGATATTTAGAATAATAGAAGTCTGGCTTTTCAAAATACTCTCATACATTTCCCTTGATTATACCATACGGTGTTCTACAACACACGTTAGAAGTTGGGTGTGGTACAGAGGTACTAAACTGTTGTATGTAGCTTTGGACCCTCACACACTTATAGTCCTAAATGTACAGAAGGTTATCTAAACGTTTCCTAAAAGTTACTCATTTGCATATAGTATAAAGTCAGGGTTTCATTTACGGATACATTCTTTACGTATGTGATCAGGCTCAGAACAGTAATACTTGCCTGACTACAGTCGTCAAACTCCTATAAGCTTTTTAAGTTGCACAGTGAAATGTGGTTAAGAAATCCCAAGGTCAGGTCCGTGGAGCCGGCAGTACGGCTACATGAGCATGGTACTATACCTGAAGGCACGAGCTGTACAATGTAAATGGAGATGCGTGGTTCTGAAGAAGAGAGAAGTAATAGCTGTAGAAAACCTCTAAAATGCCATAAATTTTAAATACTACTCTGTTGTAAATGTTACTCAAATATTTAACTTCTTTTTATTTCACAGTAATAAACTTGCTAATGAGAAAGTAAAATTGGAAGAGCTTATAAAAAAGAGTCAAGACGACTGCCAAGAGTGTGTGAAAAGAGCTGTTAAAGCAGAGGTACAAACAAAAAGTCTTGAAACGCTTTTGCTAGGGCTTGGCTCATTTGTGCTGATAGTAGGTGGGGAAGATGACTGGCGAAGTCTTATCTAACAATTTACTTTTTAAATAGCATCTACAACTTTTCATAAGCGTATACCGAAAGTGTTAATCGAGTACCGACAAGTGCTGTTCATGATGTTGTCCTACAAAACTTTGCAGATCATCAAAGCACATTGTTGTTATTGACCAGTATTAAAAGTGCACGGAATTTGGGACATGTAGTATTGCCCCAAACAAAATTCAACTAGTAATTGAGTTTCATACTTATCCTTGTTATGAATAGATTCCATTAGTAAGAAGTAACCGTAGGAACATAAAAAATTCCTTGTTAACAGGAAGTCATGGTTAGTGAATATACAGCTGCTACTTCATCAGGTAGACTCAGAATGCAACAACCGACTTGTGTGTTTCACTGAAAGGAGGAGAGTACTGATAAATAGCAAGATTTTTTTTTCTAAAACAGTATGCTTTATACCGGAAAAGCTTTGAATATCATGAACGATTCTCCCTTCCTAAGAAGGGCTTGAAGGCTGTCTTATCTGCAGTAGGATTTTTATAAAAAGATTAGATTGTTGGTCCACATTAGTCTTCAATCATGCAGTATTTAAAAGGCTGCCTTAGTCACTTAAAGTGTGTGTGTATATTTATATATACATATATGTATAGGATAATTTGCAAATGGAACATTTATGGAAGCTTTCTACTACCAGTTGAAGTGAATGTAGCCTTTTTATCCTCCCGAAGGCCTGCCAGGGCTGTTAATTCCACTTGAAATTCCTCACTGTAGGAACTGTATGCGTGTTGTACTCTGTATCATCAAACTATTGTTTCAGATGCTTATTAAAATCTATTTCGCGGTTTTATTCCTTGTGCTACAGCAGTGCTTTTACTGCACTTTTGTTGTTGTTGTTGTTGTTGTTGTTGTTGTTTTACACAGATGTCAGTACTCAAAAACTGGAAGGAAACTGAAGCATGCAAGCTAAACGGCATAGCTGCCAATGCAGAGGCAAATCTTAGGGTGCTGAAGTCATGGAGCAGGTATGGAGAGTTGACACCAGAAATCTCAGTACTACTAGTTGCTAAATACAAGTAACTACTGAATGTTTAATCACGATTATTTAACTGGACAAGTCAGTTCTGCTCACAAAGGGATGCTAGCCTGAAAGGTGCGTAGAAACATAACAGTTAAATGCAGCTTTCCTGAAGCTGAATTTCTGCTTAGTCTTAAATTACCAAAATGTGTGATACTTACGCAGGAGCAAGCTTCTTGTCTTATTCTTTCCTAGCCGGGGACGATCAGGCTGCTGGGAACATCCCAGTTATTCCTGCAGAGTATCGCTGGGAAAGGGCTGCAAAGTAAATAGAAAAGAGTGCAAACAAAACTGCTGGGCATGCAACAACATTGTTTTCTTCCTTACGAGGAACTAATTTAGCCCTTGGTGTTACCTTTTTGTAAAACTTACGCCGTGTTCCCTTTCTCTGTCCTTATGTTGCCGCAAAATACTGATTTACATTTGAGGAGCTCGCTTCTAAGATTGGATAGGATCTAAGTACCAGTAATTTAACCGATTTTAACTTGAAATTGCTTGAAGTCTTTAACTGTGATTTAGTTGGTAGGGGAAGGAACTGTTGTACTGATTTGTACTGAAAGAAAAATAATGGGAATGTTGGAGTTTAACTGAAAATCTTGAATACTTCAGCAGCTCAGCTTCAGCAGCACCTAAGTTGAAGTCACAGATTGATTCGTGGGAAATATTTATTTCAAATGTAAAGAAACAACTGGAAAAAGTAGAGGTAAGCCTTAATTTCTCTGAACAAGCTTTAAGTTTAAGAACTTTGGAAATTAAAACAGAATAAATACCTTAAATAATTTTGCATTCCTTTTTTAAAACACCAGTAGCTTGTCCTCCAAATACTGACCTGCTTTGTTTTAATTGCAAAAGAAAGACACAGTGTTAAGTCTGGATTATTTAAGTACAGCTAAGTTACAGTGAATGGCTTCGATTTTATAAAGGCAAAAATCTGTCCTTAATACACTTGCTTCCAAATCGGATCCCGCATTAACAAGTCTAGTCTCTTGGTTCTCTGAACTTTAGAAATCCACGCAAATTCTTTAAAAACAACAGAAAACTCTCTATGAAAAGTTAACATGTAAAATGTCTAGGCCGAGTTTTAAGAACTAGAAAGGGTTTCCCAAACCCCTTCGAGCATCAATGCAGGTACTTAAATACAGGTTTATGTTACTATAGCACATGGTAACCTTATGTCTCCTTTTGAGAGGCCTGGTCTCTTTGGTGTTCTGCAAAAAAGTAGTCGTGTTAATGCCATTTTGGATAAAGAGCGAGCTTTAGTTAATGCTGATGCGGAGGATAATTTGTGTTCCTTCTGCAGGCCGAGTATGAAGAAAAAATTCAGATGGTGGAAAATGGTGTACGGAACTGCCTCGCTAAAATGGAAACTGTGGACCTTCCTTCTCCTCCCAGCGTCTTAGTACGTATCTTAGATCTGAGAGCGGTTTGTTAAGAAGTTCTTTAAGTTTGCATCGGCGTGGCTACCCGTTATAGGACATCTACATAAGGAACTTGAATATATAGCCTTGAATACAAAGTAATCTGGCTCTCCATACATCCAGCTAATGTTCCAAAGGAAAAGGTGACTGCAGATTAGCGTGAAGTCCGGTGAGAAGCACATTCTCAAGTCCTTTGAGAGGCTTAAGGTGTTTAAAGTTAACTTTAAACTGCTTCACGTTCTGTCTGAACCGTTGGGACTAATATTTTTGCGTCTCGTGACTTTCCTGTAGCACCAAAATCCATAGGGACAAGGCCCCGTTACACCAACATGTCTAACCAATTACGAATACCGAAATCAACTTCCAGTCATATCTGTTGTGAACTAGATGGAGTACGGCCATTTATGGAAATGCATCTGTAATGACTACATCCCAGATAAATACCATTTAAAAACATTTTCTCATGGGCCAACGGTTCCACAGATGCTTTGCTCAAATCCTGTCAGTTACTTCCGAACCCTGCGGTTGTTCTGGTGTGCGGACGAAGGCAGTGTTAAGTCCATACTTACTGTTGATGAACTTGATGAACTGTTCATCAGCACGGTGGTGGGGAGACACACGGCCAAGCTAGCCGCAGCAGCGGTGCAAACAGCCTGCCTGCTGCCCTTCACTGACCAGGGCACAGAGCGGATGCCCGGTCCTGAAGACAAATCGCATTCAGAAACCCCTGGACCTGGCACAGTCTGGAGCAAGGAAAAAAGGGTTCAGTCATCTCTCAAGGTAGGGGAGATAACTGACTCCCTAAGTAGAACGCATTCATAGTGCACGCACATAGGAAATCCCCGAATTCACTGAAGATGCCACACAGCTTTTTTTATATATATTCTCTGCAGAAAGCCCTGGGTTTTTCGTTTGTTTTTGGTATAATTTAGATTCAAGGCTCTGTTCTAATACTGTATATTTACGACTGCTACTACAGTTTTTCTGGACTGACACAAGTAATAGTTACGCTTACGGCCTCCTGCATACCTTTTCTTCCCCACTTATTTCTAGGTATCTCCTTTCTACTTACTGGCACAGAACTCCTAAGAATATGTAGATGACTTGGTTACCATCCCTAGGTTACCATCAATTTACAGGCTGGGGGAGAGCAGCTTTTGAGCCTCTTGTTCTGCATTTGGTGCCTATTTTTACTGCAGTAATACAGGAGTAACCTTTTTAGAAGAGAGATGTGTAACTCTCTCAGCTTTGAGAGGACTTCAATAGGCAAATTCCGAGTCCAAATGAAAAAGACTTGATGAAAACCCTTCTTCTCTCTGTTTAATTCCATTAATTAAACACCTTTACAGAGAAGGTAAAATACCGCTTCAAAAAGGTGGTAGACTAAAGAACACAGAACAAGAACCAGCAGGTTTGACCACGAAGAAATGTAGAATTTTAGTTCTGTGTGTTAGAAAGCCACCTTCCTGGAGCAGTCAAGTTCTGAAACAAATAGCAGTCACGGGGTCGAACAACTAAATTTATTTTAAGGAGTTCTTTCCATTTATGGAAGAGAGTCGTTAGTGCAAAAAGAAGTCTTCCTGGATCGTGTCAGCTCCAAGTTTTTCAAGACGACGACTGTAACGGACATGTGTTTCTGTTTAAAAAAAAATTACACTGGATTATATATAGATTATATAATCTGTTAAAAGCAGTGAATTTCGTATTTTCAAATTGACGGCGCTTATTTAAAGCAGTTCTGTGTCTGCCACCAACTTGAACTGTACAACTTACAGCTGCCCAACAGCCACGCATTCTTTAGCGAAGCACGAGTAAGTTAAAGGAACGGTTTGCGTATGTGCTCTCCTGCTTAATCCTGTTTCAGACAGGTTGTCTATACGTAGTACCTCTTAAAGAGCACCTTTGTGCAATACTTCTACCTAGGTAAAGCAAGTTAGGATAAAATGATGTGACCTTCCACTTCCTTAGCGTGACCAAATGTGTCATAGTTCACGCTGCACATGCTCGAGAGTTCCGCTCAATTTACTTTAATCACTGTTTTTCCTGTGAAATCTGTTTGTTTGTATAGACACAACAAGGCAGAGCTCCCGTCAGCGATCTGGCCGTTGTCACGTATTCCTCCGCATCTGCACATCCTAATTCACTTCCTGCATTGTCAAGTTCTGAAGATCAAGGTCCAACACGTGCTTCATTTCATACGCTGGCTGGAGTTAAGCCAGCATACGCAAATTCGAAGGCTTGTTTCGCAAGTGGCGGTGCAGTGAAAACACGCTCCAAACCTCTGGAAGGATCACATTCTGATAAAGTTTCGGCAACTTGCCCGTCAGGGATTTCTGGAAGCGACGCTCAGAATGTCCAGCCAAACCCGAACCAGCAAGATGACTCGGCTATACAACTGAGGCCTTCTGGACTTCTAAACAACAAAATGCTTCCGAAAGCACTTGGAAATATTATTGCGCCTCTACAGAGTATATTCCCAAACTATAGCAGGTATTTGTTTTAATGAGAGTAATGTTACGCTGAGTACCAGGAGCTCTGAATATCCAACGATGAAGTACAGAAAGAACCGATTCCTTAGTGTAGATGGCTTCTGTTTCACGGGAACAGTACTACTAGTTGTTCCCCTCCCATGCAGTGAGACATTCCGTAAGGGAATTAGACCCGTGGTGTTGGCTTACGTGGTTTGGGTTTTTTCCCCCGTTAGAACCGCTAACAAATAGAAGTGTTACCACCTTATTGTTGGGGTTTTTTAGCGATTAAGGTAGATCCTAGTTATCCAGAGGTATCGGAAGCAGGTACTTGCTGCAGTTGATTTGGGAAGTTAGTATCTTTTAAAGCTCTACTGCTGTGAATCGCACATGGAAGCTACGGTCTTCTCTAATACTGCAACTGTGCAGGTAACAGCCATGGTATTGCCGGTCGGTAATTATGTCTGTTTTGTCCCTTCAGTTCGGACTTTACTAGCTTCATAAAAGACGTACAAAGAAGAAATGGGAATACATTGTCAGGTTTGAGCTTCGACGAAATTCTAAGCAGAGTGACGGAACTCATTCTGGACCAGCAAAGCAAGGTACTGTGGCGTGTGTAGTTGCCGCCTTTTCTACCGTGCATCTCTGACAGAGGGGACAGTGCAGCACAGTCCAGAAAAGAATGCAACTTTCCTTTGCTGCCAAGCTCTGAAATACGAACTTGCTCCAAATTCTTTTCCAATACCTGTCTAGGCACCAACTTCAACAGGGAGACCTGTGCAGTCAGTGCCCTCTGCTTCGCCAGCACAGACTGGAACTCGGAGTCGGGAAGTGCCTGCAGAAGACAATGCACCCAGCCCGCCCAAGGCAAGACCCGCGCGTAAAAACGCCTCGAGTAAAAATCCACCTCAGCCAAATCTCCAGCCCTGGGGAAATGTTGGCGCGACACCTAAATCTAAATGGAAGAAACTAGACTATACAGTAAGTCCTCCACTGTTTCAGTGAACGTGAAGTGATTGCCATGTGCTTCTTAGAAGACGTGAAATAACCAAAGTATGGCTGGGAAAAACAACTGACTTCTTCATTTTGTGTACAAAAGCTTAAAGATACTTGGTTAAAATTAGTAAACGTCATTAACTTACTAGAATTTGCTGATTAATTGTTGCTAGCTTTCAATAACTTAACGTTTTGTGCGTAGGCCTCCAGTGACGATCCTTGCACAATATGCCATGATGAGCTAAGCAGAGACTTGTGTGAACTAGAATGTGGGCACCGTTTTCACAGAGCGGTAAGGATTTTTGTTCTTATCACTTGCAAACGTTTACAAACTCAGTTCAGTTGTGCCCTCGCTCCACTTTCTGACAGCAACCTCCCCCCCCTCACCCTTCAGTGCTTAAAGAACGAACAGCGCACAGTTTTCCTTTATGTGCTGTGTATGCCAAGACTTGCTATGTATACGGTCTTACTGTGACAGAAAGTTTCCAGTTTTAGATTTTTGACTAAAACGATAATTCATCAGAGTGAATTTAAGCTTATTCTTCAGGGAATAAATCTGGTAGTCAAGTCACAGATTTGTTTGCAGCATACGTACAGAACGGGCTATCGCTCTAAACCCTGCATTTGCCACCTGATGGCAGTTGTGTGTATAACTTCAGCTAGTAAGAGAGTCAGGATTATGTTAGAATAACTTGGTATTTCTGTCCGTGACTTCTTCCCATTACCTGATGTGTTTACTGCTGACTTGCTCTTGCGGAATAGGCGCAAATGCAAATCGATCAGCACAGCGTCAGAATTGGAGAACAGTTTTCGGACTGCAAAGTTTAGTAAGACAGAGCGTGCTGGAAAAGTGCTTACCTATTAGCGACGACTATTAACATACTTAAGCTGAACTCTTTATACCAGACTTTGTTTCCTCAATGTCTTCCTATTCTTGCAGTGCATTAGAACATGGCTTAAGCAACATTCAAGTACCTGCCCGATCTGCCGCGTTCATGCCCTGTTACCTGAAGACTTCCCCGAGCTTCCTGCACGGAACAAACATGCCTAAACCCTGTTTTGTTTGAACACATTATAGTAAAAGATGCAAAGTGGCTGCAGAATAATCGCCGTGATAAGGAACAGAAACGCGATGCCTAGAAAGAGACAGAACCCTGGTTTTATTGAAAACGGCAGTGGAACTCAGACCCATTCAGTATTCGACACTAACACCAAGCTGTAAGACGCCGGCCCTGCCACGGCACCTGCAGAATCAAGTTAGCATACTCCAAGATCCAGCACTTTTCCTGGCTGTTGCCTAAGTGTGCGAAGCCGATGTAATGTAGTTCAGAGACCAGCAGCACACAAAACGGGTAGGGATTTTCGGCTAAGGGCTATTTAAGCTCTACTGTATCTACTTTTCTCAAAGGATGGCGCCTAATTCCTGTAAAGAGGGGGCTTTCCTTCAGAGCTAACACCACACTGAAAATAAATTCCAGTACCAAACAAGTAGGTGACCTGAATGCCAGACTAGCAGAATTCGGAACAGCCGAGACATTACCTTCCTCCGGCATAAACAATTACAATTTAACTGCAGGATTCAAATCGGGCTTGTTGTGATCATTATGGATGCGGCTCATCTAATTGTGGCTCCTTTCTCTGCATAAATCCATAGCTAATAACTCAAATCGTTTAGAGAATGACTTTTAGTAATATCTTGAAGCAAGAATTTTTAAGTCTTCATGTGACTCTCTCTGTTTGTGTATCATTGAGTTGGAATAGCGTGGCTCAACTCTTTAATCTCAAAATACGGTTTCAATTTCCCTCATCGTTGAAGAGCTGACTTGTTTAAATCAGAATTACAGGATTTTTATTTTTTGATGAAGCAACGCTGCATCTGTATTCTGTGCATGGATGTTCATCAACAGCGTGAGGTACAGAATACAAACAGCTGAAAGGCTCGTTATCCTACTGCTTTAAAAGTCTGAGCTTGCCAGAGTTCCTTCATCACTGTAAAATTTGTCCCAAATGGCCAACAGACCAGGACTAGAGCGTGTACGGCTTAACCGCTCTGAAAACAGAGTGTGACTGTTGTTTGGATACAAGCAGTATTAAATTGATTACATGAGATTAAGTTAGCTAATTCTAGGGCTCGTTTGTTCCCCCAAGTGATATGTATCCTCCAGATGAAGTTTTAAACTATTCTGTGATTAATCAGTATATTAACTGGCACTTCGATCAAAAATAAAATTACTACTGCAGCTGATGTGGGTTTTTGTGTAATATTTTTGCTAAGCCTGAGTTATTGGTGAGTAATCTACTATATGCTAGAGAGCTAAGGCACCTTGCTGCCTGAAGAATTAGGTACAGCACTTGCATCCTTTTCAGCTTCCATTATTTTCTCGGAGTGGGGGATACAGATACGTCGTCGCCTTAGCTTTTCACAAAAGCAGCTTACGTCCTTGGCACTCGGGACGCTTCTCCAGCGCAGCAGCGTCCTTGACCTGCCATACAGTGGCAAAGCAGTCCCACACATGCTGTATTGGACAGCGTTCTCCAGATCGAACACAGCGTGCCTCGAGGTAGTAAGGGTGAGCTGGCTGTGGAAACAGTGCCCGGCTGTAGCACTGGACTGGCATTTACATACGCTTGCATGCTACCAGCCAGTCTTGTTCTTCCTGTACCCACAGCACAGGCAGGATCCCAAGTTCCCAAATAAGCAGGATGGTTTTTGATCTGTGTTCCTCTTCTCTTCCCTGACTCCCGTAAGCTGGAAGGATTTCAGTGATTTCCAGAGGTAGTTCGTTCACACCTTGAGAGGGGACCATTACTGTACCGGGAGCGGGGCAGTCGAGCAGGGTGTACTTCTGCACCAAGGGAGCCGATCTACTCTGGATGCTGGGGCCTGAGGCAGGACGAACACCAGGCCACCTCTCCAAATAACTAACTTCTGAAGGAGGGTGGCGATAGTGCTGCTTTGAGCAGCAGGTGGCACTCTTACAACGTCATGTAGACCAGAAAGAGGGGCTTTTGTTTTCCAAAAATCATCCTGTACAATTTCCTGATCTTAGAGAAGTGTTAAGTTATAGCAAATCTCCGCCTGTTCCCGCCCCCCCACCAGACTGCTCTAAGACACTGAAATAAGAATTTCAGATGTTTACTCCTAAAATATAGAAGATATAGAACCAGGGCTAAACCTTCAATTACATTTTCCTACTTGGCAATGCTGCTGGATAAAGCTAAAGGAAATTATTTTTGGCAGTTTTCTTAATTGTGTCTGTTCATGTTGTCATCTTTACACTCATACTTTATATGCTTAACCTGCCTGTACCCCACATAACGGTGTATGGAAAAGTCACAATTGTGGCTGTTCTTTTAACTTAAAACAACATGAAAATCTGCAACCTGTTTGTTGCAGAGATAAAGTAAGGGCATTGATTTTCTCATCCAGGGAAGAGCCCAGGGAAAAAACCACAGGCAAAACAACTTCAGTTCTAAGCACTCCTCCAATACAGACTCGTATTCCCAATTTGACCAAAATACCCTTGGTGTTACTTCACATTCACCTTGCAGCGTTCATCCCACACCACCACCTTGCATTGATGCAGTACCATTTATTACACCTTCAAAGACACTATTCGGTATTATATTACAAGTCCCATACCCTCCCCCCAGCATATATACACCATGTATAACAAGACTTACTCGGGTTAAGAGGTCTTCAAAGGAAGAAGTGTTACGAAATGAAATAAGGGGAGAAACTTACTACATGTTCCAGAAGTTGTAGCAACATACAGAATCGTTCCTTCAGGATTTGTCTGAGAAAAATGGGGGGAAACATAGTGGTTGAGGTCAGAGAGATGCCTGACAAGGCTGTCTGGATAGATACATCCACGTAGGCTATCGCAAGGCAGGCAAAGTCTTAGCAAGGTTTACAGAGAACTGAAAGCACAAGAACTACCAGCAGGGAGAAGGAAGCGATGTGTTTTCAGTTCGAGTAAGACGTGGATAAAATTTCACTTTGTCTCTGAAGAATTTTGTCCTTTTTCAGTAAATCCTTTAGTGATTCTCCTCTGACTATTTACATCCTGCAGAGCTTCAGCGGGAAGTTCTCTGTGATGAGATGATCATCATGCAGAAGGACAACAACGTTAACTTCAAACTCTGGAAGAAGGGGGGGAAAAAAAAAAAATAAGGAGTTCCGTATTAATCTGAATTGTAGCAGTAGGATGGGAGGCAGGCAGTTCCTGCTCCCAGATGCAGCACCGCACAGGGCTCTTCCAAGCCGTTTCAGTACCCTGGGTTTTCCTGGGGCAGGGACGAACAAGGTGCTTCAGGCATCCCAGACCTTGGACCGTTCCTAGAGAGCCATGGCTTGTTCAAATCTTTGGGATGCCTCGGGATTCATTTACGTATCGCTGAAAAACTACAACATCTGGCCAACAGGCAGAGTTCAGACATCTAAGATTAAAATGTTTTGGGAAAAGATGCCCCACACTTGTATGCGTTGTTTAGAAGCACCGAAGTGGAAGAGTTAGGGAAAAGACTCCTCCCCTGCCATCGGCATGTAACACAGCCGTGGAATCCTGCATTATGTATGGCCTTACGACATTAAACGCCAAAATACAATATACCTGCAAACTATGCAAACCATTTTTCAAGATGAAAATCTACTCTTTAGATAACTATATTGTGTTACTCAAAACCAAAATCAATGTCAGATCTATAACCAATCCTAAATGGAGACAGAATACAAAGTCAGGTGGAGTTAATAAAGGAAGGGAACCAGAGATCAAAATAAACTGAAAATACTTGTCCTTTTTTAGAATCTTCGTAACTGTATCTTATAAATATCTTATATGTATCTTATAAAAGACTGTTCTTATAAATAAGAGTAGATACTTCACTAACAGTAGCCATTTGTCACTGTGAATTACTATTTATTAGCTAGAAATGGCAAAAAGTAGAGAAGAATATTATTTTGGGGAAAATTGCTGTACCTAGCAGGTGCAAAAATGCTCTTGGGGGAACAGATAAACAGGTAGGCAAAGCTGAAAAACTAGTTGTGCGCATTTGTCCAAGATACACAGCAGAAAAGTAGGAGGGGCTTCAGCTGGGAGGGATCCTAAAGGCAGGGACTTGTAGCTTCAGTCTGATATGATAAAAAAACCAAAAAAACCCAAAACAAAAAACCCCAACAGATCCCAGCAGGATGAAGGGAAGAAAAACAGGCCAGCAAAGAGAATTTTTGCAGTAATTATTTGAACAAGTGAGGAAAACCCTAAATTTCAGGTGTTTGTTAATGAAAATGGTGGATTTTGGCAACAATAAGCAGGAAGAAGCAGCCGGTGTAGATAAAGAAAAGCAAAGTCACATACAGCCTAACCTTTTTCTGCTTCTGAGCCTGTGCAGCAGGAGAATGGGAAACAAAAAGGAGAGGAAATGGAAAGGGGGGTTCTTGCTGGTGGTGAAAAGGAGGAAGGGGACATCGTGGCATTTCATTCTTGGGCTATTACTCAAGTGTTTAATCACGCGTAATTTTTTGGCAGAAAAAGAATTACCTGCCCTTACACAGCTTCTCCTGTCCCTTTACCGTCTAATTCTGTTAGTCAAAAGTAGCTTAATAGTTGCACAGCTGTTTTTAGTTAGAAGTATTTGGGCTGTATTTTCTCAATCTATATGAAATACAGCAGACTGCAGTCCTGTTCAGGAAACCTCTACAGGGAAACAGATGGACGTCCTTCGTTCTTCTTGCAGTGCGGACGGCGAATTATCTCGTTACCTGCCAGAAGCTAAAGTGAAACTAGAAACTTATCTCAGACGAAGGACGCCAGCACAGCATGACGTCCTACGTACTTACCAACTTTGAAGTTTGTTGTTTCCAGGGTCGGGCAGGTGAACAACCTGGGGAACACCATGTATATAGGAATTGGTAGGCCCCTGCAGACATCCCCATCAGCGATCTGAATATTCTGTATCTCTGTGGCATCTCTGGCGTAACCTTCCGCGCACCCTGGTGAAAGTGGGAAATTCAGAGTCAGAGGAGAGGAAGGGAAAGAAAAAAAAGCCAAAGTTTAAAACAAAGATACACCGGGGCTGGGGGGGCAAAACATTTTGCCCTTTGACCTGCAAGTTTTCACATTAGCAGTCTGAGCTAAGGATCACCGAGATTACTTAAATTCATGTTTGGACTGTTGCACCTAAAGTGCAAAACAATTTTTTGCAAGTCTTTTTAATCGTATGGCTTTTGACAATCTTTCACATTTAAGCTGAAGGAGTGTGAGTGGTAATTACTGCAGCCTATATGCATTTATTTACAGAGAAACTTACCACAGGTTTCCACACGTACTAACTGCAGCTCGATACTTTTGACCGCAGCCTCTGCGTTCTCCACTACCAGCTCCCCTGTTAGCGGCTGTGTAATGATACAGTTTGTAGAACTGAGATGACCTCTGATGAGAAATTTTGGAAGTGAAGCTCTCTGAAAAGAAGGGGGGGGGGGGGACACAGCTGTAAGAACAGACTAAGAAAAAAACACCTTACAGAAAGACAGTTATCAAAGTAGATAGGAAATCCCAAAAAGTTGGAAAGTTAAGAACTCAAAAGTTCAGAAGTGCCTCAAGTAACTTCTATAATATAACTCTTTAAATATGCATCCTTGTGCAGATGCATTAAGATATCTCTTACCACCCTCCCCCCTGTCATGCATCCCCCCTACTCGTTCCATCCACAGGAACATTTTTCCTGGGATGAACTGGCAAAACTTGGCTATTACAATTAATCCAGAAGTCAGGAACTGCACAGTGAAGGAGGTAGGCTGGCAGGAACTAACAGGATGGTCAAGTTAAATCAGCTGGCGGTGCTTTAGAGAACTGCATTCTGGTCCCATTTTGTTATGGATTACAGTATAGTCTGTCGTTTCAGTGATTTTCCCACCTTTTTAAACTTCTCTCATGGCCGCTATCGGGAGGGAAGACAGGCATTTAAAACTCTTCATTTAATGCCAGAGGTAGCATACTGCTTATGTACCAAGACACCAATTAAGGGCAATTAATAAAGACCTTAATTTGAATAAAGGATCACACTTCTGAAGTTTTCTTAACAGCAAACATGGTTCCTACTTTTTAAGGAAGGAGCGGTAAGAATAGCTGATCGAGGACAACAGTCTATGAATCTATAAACCAGTTTCCATAAAAGACCAGACCAGAGTGGGGGTTGTGCTCCCCCTGCCCTCCCCTTTTTCAGGCCAGCAGGCACCACAGATACTCTCTGCCAGCAGAGAAACTCATACGCCAGAAGCTCCAGTTACATTTCAAGTCCTGGCAGGCGGCATCCTGAAACACTCAAGTTTTCTACCCGCATCTTCAGCTCATACCTTCTCCATCCAACTTTCTTCAAACTCTTTGAGCATCCTGCTCTAACCTTCCCCTTCTTTTGCAAGCCTCATTCTTCTCTCCCTCCTTGATTTTTTGTTACTGACATCTTTGATGTTAGCCCCTACCTTCCAACCATCTCTTCACACTTGCCTGTGCCGTCGGATTCCCTTGCCCAGGTAAGTGATTTTCCCTCCTTCCAAACCAACTCTCTTGTCGCAAATTTTTTTTTCTCCCAATCTGTTTGTTTTGCTTCTTAGTCCTGGCTGCCAGCAGCAATGGCAGAAAAGTTCTCCTCAGCTATTGTTTAGATTGTTTCACTCAGATACCCAACACCTCTGCAGAATTTAGCCGTTGCACTCAAAAAAAAAAATCTTCAGGGGAAATAAAGAGAGAGGAATTTTCATGTGTTTAGTAAACGTGACCTCACTTGGGTATTTTCTCCAAACTTAAATAACAGAAGTTACATCCCTGACAAAACCACCCTATGAAATACTGAGTCCTAATAATGTATTAGTAAAATGCTTTTTTATTGTATGATCCCTCGCAGGTTCTTCTCATCCCCACTATTAGTAAACAGAGAGTTGCTTCCCTGCTTCACAGGGACATCATCATATAGCTATCCCCTGAAGTAGAGTGGTCAGGAACCTAAGGGACAGAGGTAAAAGGAACTTGCGGAACGAGAACTCCAGGCCATTTTCCTCAATCCTAGTCTACGAGACTTGTTTTTTTAAAGCTATATTTCCCCTAGAGCCTTACTACTCTTGTCAGTACTCTTCATATTTTAATCCTAGCTAGGTCTTCTCCCATAGGACCTATCATATCTATTTCATAGTCCCTCAAAAATGAGAATCAAGAACATACAGGCAAATCTATCCTGATTTTTCATCTAACCTCCTTGTGCTTTGCTTGGCTACTTGCAAACCTCCTAATCGGTTTTCTAGTAGTCTACCAGAAATGATAGTTCAGTCACAATCTCCAGACAAGCAGAGAATTGAAATTTTAATATTTTGAATATATCAAAACAGTGACTTTTTCGACCTGTCCATGAGGCAGTCACTTCAGACCCACACATTTTTCTGAGATAGGGAGAGGGAAAAAAAAGGAAGAGGGGGGGAAGGGGGGGGGAAGGCCACTGCTTGTGCTACCATACGTATTCAATACCATTCTTTAGACAGCTCCACAATTAAATACCAAGGTGTCCTGGATCAGAGATGTCAGAAGTTTTAGAACCTACTTTTGTAAAGTAGTTTTCTAAACTATAGATATGTCAGCCTTGCTTCAATCCCTGGGAAAGCGATGGAGCAAATAACCGCAGAAGTCATTTCCAAACATATAAAGGACAAGAAAGTGATTGGAAGCAGTCAGCATGGATTTATGAAAATGACATCATGCTTAAACAACCTGATAGCCTTTTATGATGAAATGACTAGCTTGGTGGACAAGCGGAGAGCAGCGGATACTGTTTATATTGGCTTCAGCGCTGGTTTTGATACTGTTTCTCCTAACAACCTCCCTGACAAACTGATGAAGTACAGACTAGATGTACAGATTAGACACCGAGGTGGACTGAGAACAGCCTGAACTGCTGGACTCAAAGGTTTGTGATCAGCAGCACAAAGTGCAGGCGAAGGCCAGTCACTAGCGGTACACACCAGTGACTGGGGTCAATACTGGAGCCAGTCTTACTTCCCATCTTCAATGACGGGACAGAGTGCATCCTCAGCGAGTCTGCAGAGAATACACAATTGGAAGGAGTGCTTGGTGAACCAGATAGTTGCGCTGCCCTTCACAGGGACCTCAACAGGCTGGACAAATGGACCTACAGCATCCTGAGCTGCATTAAAAAGTGTTGCCAACAGGTTGAGGGAGGTGATTCTCCCCATCTCTTCAGCACTGCTGAGACAAAACTGGGGACAGCGTGTCCAGTTCAGGACTTCCCGGTACAAGAAACACAGACTTACTGGAGCAAGTCCAGCCTTTACTGGATTTGGCCATGAACATGGTTAAGAGCACGTGACATACAAGAAGAGGCTGAGAGCTGGGACTGTTCATCCTGCAGAACAGAAGGCTCAGGGGGATCTTATCAATATGTATAAATACCTGATGGGAAGGAGTAAAGGAGATGGAGTCAGACACCTCTCAGTGGTATCTAGCAAAAGGACAAGAGGCTATGGGAACAAATGGAAATAAAGGAAATAACTTTTGTATTTATTATTTATTTATTCTTTTAATCCTGTGAGGGTGGTCAAACACTGTAACATTGCCAAGTGGTTGCAAGTCTCCATCCTTTGAGATATTGAAAACTTGACTACACATGGCCCTGAGCAACCTGCTCTAGATGACTCTGCTCTGAGCACAGGGGCTGGACTAACCAATCTCCAGAGGTCCCTTCCAACCACAATGATTCTGTGAATATGCAGGATAAGGTCAGCAATAGCATGAAACAACCGAAGAGCTGATTAAGAGGTCTGTTTTGAGAAACAAGTGGAAGAGTAGGTCTAAATTCAGAAGTCTGGGACTAAGAGCAATGGAAGACAAACTGGGGATGCAAAAGGGAGACCTAAAGCAGGAAAGTAGTCTTATTAACAAAAAGAGCACAACAGGAAAATCTGGAAAAACAGAACACAGGTTTCAGCGGACAAACAGAAACCGGTGTTCAGAAAACAAAATGACCAAGACAGCTACTACTGTTCATACAGGCTTCCCAAAGCCACACAGGGCTGTAAAAAAAAGGCATGACCAAGGATCAAAATATACATTTTTAAAGGATCTTGGCTACATGTGGTATAGAATGCTTTCCCTTGCTTCACTGCCATCTTTCACTCAGAAAAATGATAAAAACGTTTAACCATTACTGAACAAAGTTCCGCCTTACAGTAGTGACCACTATCACAAGAGATCAGGCAGAATCACTTTAGTGCTTACAAAAGTAAAAAAGGAGAAAACGGAAAGAAAAAAAAAAGCTGATTATCTGCAGGGCAGCATTTAATCATTCCTCTCTTGTTCTCACTCAGAATCACACAAGCATTACATTTAAAATAACAAGAACACACTTACCTCTTTAACATTTTGCAAAGTTTCAGGAGTAATTGTGAAGTCTACTGGGCTTGGCATCAGTTTCCCTTTCTGAGACTACAAGTAATGAAAGAGTTAAACTGTAAACTATGATTTACAAAACACAGACAGAGAATATTAGAAAAGTCAGCAAAGTCAAGCAACTGTTGGGTGTGTTAGTTTTCAGGATTGTCTTCATACTGAAAGTATGCATCTGTGTAATAAACCCTGAGATTTCCTGCCTTTGTTATTAAATAACATTACGATATTGTCTAAATACAAGTCACAATGCATCACAAATCTGAATTGTAGAAACAAAACTGTGTGTTTGCCATTGCAATAAACCACAACAAGCTCTCCATTTGTAAGTTTTTGGCATAAGCTCTACCTACACCGAAGAAAAGAAAAAAGGAAAACAAAACCGAAACATGTGGTTGACTACTCTAAACTACCTGGAAAAGAAGAAATACACTACCTATCTGAAGCATATGGTATGCTATAGAAAAAAGTTAAATTTCACATTTCTGTATTTACAAATAATTACACTTTGTATGTCAGTTGCAGTGTTTCCTTTCGTTATTACTACTTAGTAAATTTGGGCCGGGGAGAGAGTGAGATATAAATGAACTTGCTCCATTGCTTCAAATATGTTTTATAAACTCTCCCTCCCTCCTGTTATCTCTGAGCACTTTGAGCTCTTTCTGCTGCCCTTTCAGTAACAGCTCAGGTCTCCTAAGCCATCCTCGTATTACTAGGAGATCCTCAGATGATGGAATCTAGCGTAGCGTTGATTTAATGGGCTTAGCATTCCAGCTTCTTTAACTGTAAAATAAACAAAACTTGGTCCAGGTTAGCTTTCCACACTGGAGAAGCAATTTTCGGGGCACGTTATTACAGTTCTTCAGTATCTATTTACACCATTTGTCACAAAACCAAGAAGTTAAGTGTTTCCGTACGTGGCTGAATGGGCCCTGAGCTCTGCTGAGATGGCAGCCTGTACTCCGCATCAGGAAGGCAAGCTTTGCCTACCATTCACTGACCTCTCCCTCCATCCTTATCTCAGTCAGGTGCACTGTCTTTTTCCCCCACATATTTAGAATAAGTGGCCAGCGCAGCATCAATTATGAGAGACCCAGCTGTATGTAACTGGGAGTTGGCAGAGCACACCACCACCAATGGGCTTAACTTGAACTCTTAGTAAGTACCCTCACTACTTCAGTATTCAAAATAGTTTCTGCTGCCCAGCTGCGAGATGGAAGATTGACTGTATTTTCCCATAAATGACAAATTCTGGCAGAGAATAAGATTAAGGGAAATGGTACATTGAGCACCGGCGGTGAGAATTATATGTTCAGTAAAACCTCATTAATTCACTGTGGCAGGTGCACCCGCCCTGACAAAGACCGGGGGCATTAAGGCGGCTGCGTCCTCACTTTTCTCGCCCTTGCTTTTGCGCCTTTAAGGTGGCAAGTGCCGACCGTCAGGTGCACACCTTGGGGCAGTGATTATGGTCAGGTATACACCTCGGGCGAGGGGTAAGGAGGTCGAGGCCCTCAGTCAACCAGAACCGACCACAGGTCAGGTTCAACTAGGGTATAAATGGAGCCCCACCGGAGGGCAAGTGGGGTCGGTCCTCTTTGGAGCAGCGGGTCTGCAGTCGGGGACTCTCCCCTCAGGTCGGGACGCCGCCCAAGGAAACTCCTCGAGGTTGAGAGCCCTCATCTTGCCGGTGAGTGATTGTGCACGAGTGTTGACGCCTCATTTCTAGTTAGTTTTCTCTTAAACAATTTTGGTTAAAATAAAATTTATTTTTGAATTTACCACCTGCCTAATTTGATTTCGTGAGCCTCTGCGACATTCACCCCGAGAAATTCATGATTTACTGACTTGTGATCTAAGAAGTGCTGTAGTGGGAACAAGAAATAAAACCAGGAAACGGCATAATATGTAATTTGTTCACTATTTTGACAAGTGTGGCTTACTTATAATGTAATAATGGACCAATAAAACGTAGCCTAATAATTTTAGAAAATAATGAAATCTTACCAACAGGAAACTTCTTTATAGCACCTAGCTAAGTCTTTAAAGAAGGTATGAAATCTTTAAAAAAGGTACTATAGAACTAAAATAACATGTTTCCACCATTATTCATAAGTAAGGCAAAAGAGTCTAGTACTTTACTGTCCTGTTAGAGTTCAAAGGAATGATTCAAACAGTATGTTCTAGCAAGCTGTGGGTGGAAAAAGAGATACTTAATTAGGCCTGCACAGTCTGTACTGACATCAGATGCTCTGGACGTGTACAAGTCAATATAAACTAAAAACAAATCTGATACAGGAACTTCAAATAACAAGCAGCAAAGCATTTCTTGCGAGACAGTCAAATCTCATCCCACAATGATAGCTCCACAGGAGGAAGGCTGTCTCCATGTTGCTAACCGCAGGATGTCGATATTTGTTAACCTAGTTATCTTAGCACATTGCCAACCATGGGCTTACTTAATAGCAAAGGTGATTAAGCTGACAAGCTTCTTATTTCCGACTTGATGCAGTCCCAGCTTTGAGTCAGGGCTCTAAACCATAATTAGTCATCTGAAGAACAGAAATCAGATATTTTCTCTTCACTAACGAACTCCCATTTCTAAGACAGGCATTCTGGGTGCCTGGAATCTTTGGCTAAGAAGCGCTCAGATAATCTGAAACAGCGTTTAGAAGAATGCCATAATATTTATCTAACCACACCATCACTTCAGAACTGAAAGGATGAATAAGAGAATAAACTCAGTGCAGTATAAAAACATCTTATAATCCAAATCCTCTTTGTACTGTTTTCTTTAAATGAAAAAGAGAGATGTGTTATTCTAATCAGAAGCAACTGACACCCTAGCTCTTCTGGATGTTTCTGTTCTGAGGCTAGCTTCCTTTACACATACATAACCCATGTGTTGCTATTACAGATTACATGCTTCTACTTGGTTTTCTAACCTTACAGCCAAACTCCACTTAGAGTGGGGGCGGGGGGGAATCCCACTTTGCATAGTTAATACAAACCACACTTACCAGTGAGTGGACAATGAATTCACAAGTCTTAGTTAGGTCTTTTGCCAGCAGAGAACGTCTCATATCACACCGTAGGGTATACTGGCAAGAATAGGATGGCAGAGAAAAAGAAGAGAGCCTCAGTTAAGATTTCCTCTCTCTCTTAAATTTTCATCTTTTTATTGCATATGTGCAGAATGTTACTGTTATTAATATTTAAGGCATCGTTTAAAACAGATTAGTAGGCAATGTACATACCAGTGATGGAGTGATGGGGAGAGGGAAAGGAATAAGCGGTATACAATAATTTTAGATGCTCCCAAATGAAAGCTGATTTTTCTTAGTGTTTACAGTCCCATAGTCACTTGCAAATGCTTTCCATATCTTCTGTGTTATGTAACAACCTATGAGATTGAGGGACTAATTCACTGACAGAGAGTAGTGTTCTTGTACAGCTTCAGCACCCGAATTACGTTCAGTTAAGAGTGATTATGGTGTTGCTTTCACCGTACTTTGGATAAGTGATTATTAATAAGATATATTCACAGCCCCTCTAATTTTAAATTTACTGTAAGATTGAATTTAACAGTGGTAACAGTTACGTGCATATTTAATGGAGAACTGTCTTTAACCATATAGCTGAACTTAAAAGCAGCAGCGTGCAGTAAAGTCAGGCAACAAGGTTAATTTTGCTGTTCACTGTTCAAAAACTTGCTGCCGATTTCCTCCCCTTTCTCCCCTAAAAATGGAGCCATAAACCAGTGACTGAAAAATAGCATGACCTTGGTTATCACAGTAATCACGCACTTCAGCATCTATAACATAGCCTTTCAATGTCCTTACAAGATAGGGAATTTGGTGGGGTGGGTTTTTTTCTTGTTCTGGTTTTAATCCCTTCTTTACAGATGAGGGATCGGCAAAAACAGGTGCACTCAGGCTAGGGACTCAGCTTCATAACTTCCAGTTCATGATGTCTCTCTGCACATAACCTGAATACACATGCAAGAACGAGACCGGGGAGCATCTCTCTTTCCCCATCACAGGCTGGTTTCCACTGAAGTTGATCACTGTTGAGCAAACCTTCTATTACTGCACTACATTTCACTCAGACCAGGGAACACGGTGCAATGAGGCAGCAGGACCACACAGGCCTTGCAATTTGGCCCACAGCCTCCCCATCAGTGTCTAATTAGAAGGTCTCTGCATGAGAACAGAGACTTGAATCTTGATACTGAACCCCCAGCTAACTTACTAATACCTAGATCAAGAAATAGAGGCTTGCTTTTAAACTGCACAGGACTTGAACAGAGGTCTAGGAAGTGTTTCTTAAACAGCACCTTTAGTTACTCAAATGGAAAAATAAATAGGTGGTATACTGTTTGTAGTCTATTTTCCCACTTCTTGATTCGGACAGAAAACAAATATAAACATGTTAGAAGCAAATGAACTTGTTCCTTTGATTTATTTAAATCTAGCAAAGTATTTTTAAGCAGTTCAAGCCAGATTTTCTAGAAAACAGACTTAATGTTCCCCAATTTATAGCTATGTATCTGTTTTATCAGGTATCAGTGCATCTTAAATAACCTTGGGAGAGACTACATTTTCCTCTTCAGGAGAGCAGGACTCTCAAAGGTTGGCTGAAATCTAATGATTAACCTTTTAATTACATTTTATGTAAAGAGAAGCTACATAGATAAGAGAGGGAATGACAAAACAAAACAAATATTCACCATTAAAGGATACCTTAAAACAACCGATATTGATCACAGGCAAGTTATCTGGATTATAGAAAGCAACTCAACCAGTTTTGCACCATTTTTGACATACCTACCAAAACCAACAGATGTTACATTAGGAAGAAAGCCAAGACTGAAAAAAATATGGGAAGTACTTAAAAAAACATCTGAATGTAGACAAAAAACAAGGGAATTTTTCTTTTAGTTACTTCTGATAGGCTAGCAGGTGGGGGTTTTTGTGGGGGTTTTTGGTTGTTTGTTAGGGTTTTGTTAAATCTCAGACTGTAATATAAGACTTCCAGTTCAGCTAAATAGCTAACAGTTTTATACTTTGTTGTCAAATCCAATACTCTCACCAGTGAGCTACAAGTGGGGGGGGAAGAAAAGTTTTACAACCCCGTGATTATTCATCAGGACTGGTCTGAAAATTTTTGCATTTAGTGGCTCCTTCAACTTTTTCCTTGAAGAAAAAAAAAACCAAACCCAAAAAACCACCCCTCAGTAAGAAAAAGCATTGTCTAACACAGTATTTACATTCAAGAGATGGCTGAAGAAAGACTTTCCCTTAAAAAAAAAAAAACAAAAACACCAAAGCAATGAACCCACCTAAGGTAAGGCAATTTTTAACCAAAAAAGGTCAAATTTCAAAATTGTGTTTCCACAAGATCCTGTTCCAAGCCTGTAGTACATACAGATTTGGGCAGGCAATGTTACTACTCATCCCCACAGGAATGCAAACAATTCATATTTTTGAAGATGCTACAAGCTCTCAACACTTTGGTTTGAGTCTTCATTATGAAATTACACAGCCACATTTGTTTTGAACAAAAGGACACTGTGGTGCAGTCTTTTTTCATGAAGGGAATGGATGTAGTTGTCTACAACATAAGGAGGGATCAGATATATGTTACAGTAGTTCTGACAAGGTATTTCAGGCAAGACATCTTGTTACTGTTCTGTTTATGCCATCATTCTTTAAAGATTTACTCCACATGGAAGGCCTGAAACAGTAAGTGATGGAAAGATTTCCTCTAGTTAGAGGACACTTCTCACAAATGAATGCAGGAAAACAGACTCTGAACACTAGGTAGCTTTGTTCCTGTAGGATTTATCCCTGCGTCTTAAAATGGATCTGGTAAGTCAGTACACTTCATTTTTAATATTTAAGTATTATTAGCAGTAACTGGTTGTCTACTATGCTAACAAAGTCTCACTGGTACTAGGTTAACAGTACACACACTTGTATCTGGGTATGTACTACTATATAGATTATCTACAAAATGGTAAATGCAACTTCTTTCACAATAAAATCAGAACTAGATGAAAACATCACCCTGTAAGAGAACTGTACAAGATTTAACAAGCGTGGCAAATACATTTGAACCTTTCTCAACCCAAAGCCCCTCTTTCCAGTATGCTTTTAATTCTCTCTTGTACCCGCCACGTTACATCTCATCAGTTTCATTATCATCAACTATTTCCAATGAAAAGCTTAAACTTACTGGTAAAGAAAAGGGAACAGACATCACAACAATTTTTTAAAAGCAACATTATATTGACAGGATTCTGAGATCTCAGGACAGTTCCTTTGCCACATCTAAGAAGTGTTACCACCTGTGGAAAGTGTGGACTCCTAGAAACTGGAACTGAAAAAGGCAACTAGAAACTACCTACAAACTGGTACTTAAAAGGTTAACATGTATCATGATTTTTAATCTTAATATCTAGAAAATACAGTACTCCCCAGAGGAATGCTATATTAATAAAGGGAAGCTTAAAAGCTACTTACTTCAAAGGATCTCTACTTTCTGCTCATTCTTCAAATTGAGAAAAGAAAACATATTGCACTACGAAAAGAAAACTTTATCACAAAACTTTATCCTCTGCTTCCATGGAATAAGAGATGCTTGAGAATACATTCTGCAGATAACAAAAGTTCAGATTTTCTTTACAGATACGACTGCCTTACCTGAATATTAACAAAGACACCATGATAAGTCTCATACAGAACTTTGTTCCCCTTCATATGCAATGGAAATTCAAACGGGATTTCTGTCTTGCCACTGGGAAGTTTCCCTGGTTTTACCATTTCAATAGTGCTGTTAATAATTTGAATAGGCTGCCAAGATAAATATGAAGAGGTTTAGGTTGAAGCGGAGTTACAGCCCCATCATTTCAAGAACCAACAACATCCATTAAACTCTAATAGACTTCCTGAATTTCCAGAAACTCAGGTATTTCTTCATGACACACAGCTCTCCAGTCTTACAATATTAAGAAAGAAATATTAAGAAAAGAAATATTAAGAAAGCTTTCCTCAAGAAAACAATTTGTGATCTATTTTATGGTTGTATCATACTAATGACCAAACATATTTAGAGAGCTAAACAGCAGAGTCTCGAGCGCTTTGGAAAGTGGAGTTCCATTTTCTAAATTATGACCCTTAGTAGCAGCAGGAGTCGACAAGTGTGTGTGCCAGTTGAGCAGTTAGCCATTCCCTTCTACCTTCTCCCCGGCCCTTTCCCACCCTGAAGATCTATATTTAGGGCTAGTCTCTCAATGGAACAATGGTTAACTATGATTCAACTGGGGAAGCCTGCTTGAAGATTACACTTCTTTTCTCTCTGGAGTTTTACTATTATTTTCCCTCTACTAGACAGGAATAAGAAAATCTATTGCTTCTACTGTTTCTTCTGTTTTCCAATCATTCAGGGGCAGATTATTCATACTGTAAACAAATTGACTATGATACAAATGAAGACCTTAAAAGGCCCTGCACTGAGGCTATCCTAACTTAAGCAAACTATTTTGCGAATGTAGCTATACTGCCTCTAGACAGAGCCAGCCTTGCTTCAATCAGTACAGCCACGTTTGTGTGGAGCCTGAGATAACTTGCCCTGCTAGATTCCAAACGCCACACTTCCAAACCTGGAGAGCAGTACAGAGGCCTTCCAGGAGCTCCACGGTCAAACAGTCTGTGTGCAGCCTCATACTCTACAGAAGAATCTGTGCAGGTCCTGTATCATGCCTAGTAACACGCAACCTCAATGGCCTCCGCAGAAACTACTGTGATAGTGACTGATCTGGCACAAAAGTCCAATTAAACCCAGTCACTTAAAAAAAAAAAAATCACACAGTTTACTATTTTTCTTTAAATCATGGTCCTTCAATGCATCGTCCAGTAACCTTACTATTTATGTTACTGGTTTTCAGCCCTGAAGAAAACTCTCCAATCAGTGCAAGTTCCTCCCCCAAAATGTCATCATATATCACTAGATAATGCTGAGCATTTCTCTGCTTTCTATCATTTACATACCATGAAGTGCTATAACTGCCTGAGAGTCATTAAGGAAAGATTTAATGTGAGAAAAGAGACGAAGGTTTTGTGCTAAAAATACTAACCTGCACAGGTCTTACCTTGACAGAGTTATAGAAAGCTTCGAACACACCCACACTTTTGGCACTAAGCTGCAGATTTACTGATCCTTCCATTGTTAACAAGATACCTTGGTGCTGGACTGTGTCCTTACTTGTTATGACCACAACTCCAGAAAGAACTTCCTAATAGGAGAAAAGACAACATAAAAACATTTGAGTAACAGCCATAGAAGAAAGTTATTTAAACAGACAGCATGCTAACTGATTTTCAAACTCAAGAAAACTGTTCCCAGAGAACAATCTAACCTTGTCAGAAAAAACAAATACTGATAATGAAAGCAATGTGAGGAAGAGACCTCTGGACTTCTAGTTTGTTTTCATTAAAAACACTCTCCTTCTCCTTGCAGAAGTACTAATCTGAGCTTCAATTTCTTTCCAAAGTTTCAAGATCTTCCTTTCTGGGAAGATGAAAAATATCCTCATAAACTATCAGGTCAGTTGGTAATAGGCAAGTTCCATTTCACATGTCAGAATGAAATCCCAGGAGGAATTTTTATATGAAGAGTGGGACGGTCAGCCGTGGGAGATAGAAGAGAAGACATAACTGTAAAAGTGATGGCCAAGCTGAGGATAAGACTCACCTCAAGAGCGGAGCGAAACAGATTTAAAATAAATAAATAAATAGCTGTTCTGCTACACAAGCAAATTCCATGCTACATGGGAAATAGTTTAAAAGTGTATCTGAATTGAAGGCACGAGTTGTATGACTCAAGAGATGCGCCACTTATCCCATTAAGAATGTTTTGTCTACAAAATTGTATTTGCACGAGAACACTGCATCTTGGAAGTATCAACTTAGAAGTTCTAACACTGAAAAAAAGCTTAACTGCAGGAGAGCAACACACAGTTCATTTTACATACCCCACAGTTTATCCTTCCCCTCTCCTACAACAGAGAATCCACTCCAATCCAGAGTTCCACGCATTCATACACATCTGGCAATAGCAGCAAGTGATTTGAGAACCTGAAGAAAGTTTCTTGGGGCTAACCTTCTCTTCTGCTCGATGGTAATGCTCTCTGCACCTTCATCGGGCTTACAAACTAGACACCAAGCTACAGATCACTCCAACCAAAGGATAATTCAGACTGCCCACTCCACACTCTGCCAGTTAAAACCAGTCTAGTTATGTACATCTCTGACAGACGCTATTTGAACTTTGCCAGCCTTTTGTCTTTACTAGTGGTACAGGATGACAATATAGAAAATGGGTCAGGCAGTTTAAAGCAGAACAGGACAGCAGGAGAACATCAAGCATCACAACGAAGGCTGACACGCTGCAAGTCTGAAAAGAGGACCTGCAGCTATTGGGAAATGCCAGGAACAGGAGGCACAAGCACAAAAGGACAGTGAAGAAAAGCTGACCTAAATACTGTACTGCTTTGCTAACAGGCTTTAATTAGTACAAGCAATTAGGTTATTGCTTTGAAAAATGAGTACAGCTGAACTATAAGAAGCAAGGACAATCCTGAACATATGAACTGCTTTAATAAATGAGAACAGTCTCCCACCACACAGCAACAACCTATTCCAGAGCTATTGCCTACATACTTTCACACGATAAGGGTGTATGTATTTGGGGCAGAAAGGAGAAGAATGACTTGAAGTTAAATACAAATTTTTCTTATAACATTAAATGTGTCTTAAGAAACGAAAAAACACCTCAAAACCACTTTCTAACAAAAACTTTTGAAGTTCACTAATGTGGGGGAGATGGAAGTATCACGAAGAACATGCCGTAATACTTACTTAAACTGTTTATATGCAATCAGATTATACTTCTGTTTGACGGGGGGGGGGGGGAAGTTGGCTATGTCTTTTCTGGAGAAGAGCTACTTTGTCCTTTTTTGTGTAAAACCAAGGTCCCCACTAAATACAAAGCTGTCAGTATACTTTTCCTTCTAGAAAGTACAAATCAAAGAACATAAGCTTAGCAAGATGTTCAAATACTTATAGTTAGCACACAATTTATGAGAAAACTTTACTTTTGCAAAACATTTGCAAATGTACCATTTGTAAAAGTTACGTGGCATCACTTGACACTAAACTAGTACTGTTTTCAGTCCATATCGAAAGGAGTTCATTTATTTACCTTTAACACCGCAAAACTAAAGGCATAGAGAAAGTCACCACTGGAATTAATCCCCACGTACCACAGTGTAGTAACTTACAATCAGTTGCTCTTACTCACTTTTTACCTTCTCCCTTACTAGGAACTCCTCATGGCTTCACCACCCGATGACAAAACTTTGCAAGATGTAACTAAGCTAATACAGTTTCAGACAGAATTATTCATCTAGAGTATCCATCCACAGGAAGGCCAGTGTGTTATGTGAAGCAGACAGAGAAGCGAGGTACATACGCTAAACTGCAAACAAAACATTCTGTGAGAAGACTGTCCCAGGTTAATGATCCCAAACAAGCTTTTTAGCTTTCTGTTGTCAGTTCCTTACCATTCAGAGATGCACACGAAACTGCCAGGAAGACCGACGCTTTCAAAGTTTCAGTCACTTTCAAGGTCACAACTAAGAAGAACACCTGCTTCATCTGATTGTTTTAAGGCCACCTGAAAACTGTCATCACACTTTTTGAGGTGTTGACAACAGCAGAGGACATCATACCTAAGGCCATACAGAAATGCCTAACACTTCTCTAGATCCATTTGATATCTGCTATACATCTATAGATTAAGCTTTTCATTATTTTGGTAGAATGGAAGTCCACAGTCAGTCGGTTACCAACAAGACACCTTAGGTTCCTTCTAGATTCCACTTTCCACATCACAGGCATTCACTTTTAGGACAAAGGGCAAATATTTGGCAATTTAAAAATTCACACTAAGTTCACGTAAGTCACATTTACTAAATATTCCTAATCATTTTCTTCCACATCTCCTCCTCTGCGCAAGCCACCTGCAAATCTTAACTACATATTCTTCTGATTATTTAGAAAGAAGCTGACCACATTCACTAGAAAAAGTCTACTAGACCCAACTAACTAGTCATTAGATGCTTTAAAACCTCAATGCTCACATTTACCAATTAGTTTGCTTTTTTAGAAAAAGTAAAAGGCTTCCTTATGGGCAAATTCTGACTGAAGCGTATTTTGGCCTCACTCGTCATTAAAAGTCTTGGCTGATGTTAACTATGGCACCTGTCTTTGTACAATGCATTTTTCAGGCCTTTCAGCCTAGAATTCTTTTAATTATCAGACTAACTACCACAGTTACTCCAGTCATCCTGTTTAGGTTTTCTAAATAAAACACATCATTAGTTGTGCCTGTCCCCTCATTCTTCTAGCATTCCAGAGTTTATTAAAGGAGCCTCAATGGCTCAAGAATTCTCCATCCAATTAAAAAAAAAAAAGCCTCCTGAACACAGATCATCTGTTCCTAGGAACTTAAACACAGTTTTGCTGCAGTAAGCCTTATTTGGCTATTATAGGACATGTTATTAGGGTCCATTTTATTGTCTTTCTGTTCTTAAATCCCCTATCACTCTTTTTTAAAAAACAAAACAAAACAATGCTATTACTCTTTTGGTCCAAGAAGTGGCAAACTTGTTTTTTTACTCGCAATTTAAAGTAATCTGGCTTGAACAGCCAGCTTTTCTCAAATTGAAGTCTGGACAAAATAAAGGTCTGTCTTTGCTTAGTTCCTCCAGTTTCTGATGTTTATAACTAATGAATACAGAAATTGCTTACTGTTTATCACAGCATGTTATTTTAACCAACTTCCTTTTTAAAAGCAGAAACACAATCTCAGGCTTGCACAATGGATGACTATTTTACAAATTTTGTGTCTAACTTCTCCCAATTAAAAAAAGAACAGTCAACACAGAAGCAAAAAACAACTAAAAAGAACAAAATAGTTGCCTACTCAGCTACTTAGAACTAAAGAAAGTTTTAGGAAGTGAAGTGACTTCCACTTGGCATAGGAGATTGCTTTGCAACAATGAAAAATGGTTGAATTCAGCTGAATTTGGTATAACCAAGGTCACCGTACCAGGGTGAGAAGTAGCCTGACCCAACCCAAGACAACAGGGAACAGTATTTGAAGGTTCTGTTATGTGGTATTTCAGCACCAAAGAGAAATTTTAAAGATCTTGGCCCGATGGGGAAAGCCTATAATGAAATATATGCATCATTCTGACCTTACAAAAAGCAAAAAAGAATAAATTATTCAGCCTTAATTTTCCTGGTCAGCTATTTGCTTTAGACACACCCTTATCTTATCCACTCACCAGCCTTCTTGTATGTACTTTCAACAATATTTTCCCCTAACAAGACTCAAATTCAGTTCTGCAGTAAAATGAAAGATGTTTGTTAGCTTTCACTACATATTCTTCTGATTATTTAGAAAGAAGCTGACCACATTCACTAGAAAAAGTCTACTAGACCCAACTAACTAGTCATTAGATGCTTTAAAACCTCAATGCTCACATTTACCAATTAGTTTGCTTTTTTAGAAAAAGTAAAAGGCTTCCTTATGGGCAAATTCTGACTGAAGCGTATTTTGGCCTCACTCGTCATTAAAAGTCTTGGCTGATGTTAACTATGGCACCTGTCTTTGTACAATGCATTTTTCAGGCCTTTCAGCCTAGAATTCTTTTAATTATCAGACTAACTACCACAGTTACTCCAGTCATCCTGTTTAGGTTTTCTAAATAAAACACATCATTAGTTGTGCCTGTCCCCTCATTCTTCTAGCATTCCAGAGTTTATTAAAGGAGCCTCAATGGCTCAAGAATTCTCCATCCAATTAAAAAAAAAAAGTCTCCTGAACACAGATCATCTGTTCCTAGGAACTTAAACACAGTTTTGCTGCAGTAAGCCTTATTTGGCTATTATAGGACATGTTATTAGGGTCCATTTTATTGTCTTTCTGTTCTTAAATCCCCTATCACTCTTTTTTAAAAAACAAAACAAAACAATGCTATTACTCTTTTGGTCCAAGAAGTGGCAAACTTGTTTTTTTACTCGCAATTTAAAGTAATCTGGCTTGAACAGCCAGCTTTTCTCAAATTGAAGTCTGGACAAAATAAAGGTCTGTCTTTGCTTAGTTCCTCCAGTTTCTGATGTTTATAACTAATGAATACAGAAATTGCTTACTGTTTATCACAGCATGTTATTTTAACCAACTTCCTTTTTAAAAGCAGAAACACAATCTCAGGCTTGCACAATGGATGACTATTTTACAAATTTTGTGTCTAACTTCTCCCAATTAAAAAAAGAACAGTCAACACAGAAGCAAAAAACAACTAAAAAGAACAAAATAGTTGCCTACTCAGCTACTTAGAACTAAAGAAAGTTTTAGGAAGTGAAGTGACTTCCACTTGGCATAGGAGATTGCTTTGCAACAATGAAAAATGGTTGAATTCAGCTGAATTTGGTATAACCAAGGTCACCGTACCAGGGTGAGAAGTAGCCTGACCCAACCCAAGACAACAGGGAACAGTATTTGAAGGTTCTGTTATGTGGTATTTCAGCACCAAAGAGAAATTTTAAAGATCTTGGCCCGATGGGGAAAGCCTATAATGAAATATATGCATCATTCTGACCTTACAAAAAGCAAAAAAGAATAAATTATTCAGCCTTAATTTTCCTGGTCAGCTATTTGCTTTAGACACACCCTTATCTTATCCACTCACCAGCCTTCTTGTATGTACTTTCAACAATATTTTCCCCTAACAAGACTCAAATTCAGTTCTGCAGTAAAATGAAAGATGTTTGTTAGCTTTCAGAGTTCTTCCCTAGAAGTTTTTAATATAAACTCCCGCACCTTCAGGGCCTTATTCGGTATGGACTTTACCATTAAGAGATTCTCAGAACAGTTACTTGTTAAATATGGGTCTCTCCTATACCTGTTTCCCCTCATGCCTTCCCTCTTGGAGGGAATAAAGGTGTATAGCAAATACACTCAACAGTTGTAAAGATGCTGGTTGATGTACACGCCATAGATGGAGAGATGCGGATTGCTAAAAATCCCTGAATATTGCGCCCGGACTATGCACTGTCAAGAGGTACAAAAACAGAGCTTTAATGGAAGAATCAGCCGTCGTTGCCATTACCAGTTCTTTGGTCTATTATCACCTAAAATCACAGACTGAGATCCTTGAGACTGTTCTTCATCCACCCCCCTTCATTCTGTTCATCCAATTTCCCGCTCTGTTGGATCTGCTCCACTATGTCTAATCTCTCTTCTGTAGGCCATCCAGCACAAGACCATTCTGATACTGATTGTTAGATATTCTCTGTTCTACTCTACTTGAGAAGACATTCATAAGAAAAACAAAAAAGGATGTCCATGATTCAAGAGGTTGATTTTTTTATTACTATTATTTACTTCTTTTGAGTGTGGCACCAACCAAATACTATCCATTTCCCTGATCTGGCTTACTGCATAGCCAATACTGTCAGCATAAGAAAGGTGGCAGAAATTAAATGGCTAGGGAGGCGAGTGGCATTGTGGAGTTATGCTGGATTAATTATGGTCTCAGGCAAATTATGACTTAGAAAGCTCAGTAATGTTTTAGCAAATTTTTCTGCTATTATAATGTAATAGTCGTAACAAAAAGACTATTATACCAGTGCATAATTTAGACATCACCTTCTTCCATATCCAAATGCAGCTTTACGTAAGCTCCGAAAACAGAAGATCAAGTCTAGCCACAGTATCCCTATTGCCTTCAAATGAATAGCTAGACATACACATTGGGAGGAACTATTGTCTTTACTAAAGGGATCCCTTCATTTTCAAGTAGCATTGGTGCAAGCATATTTTGGGATGAAAGTTGCCATAGACTGAAGGTATTATTAGCATAGCTACTGTCACTGAAGTAGACAACAATCAGTAAACTTCTAAAAAAAACCCAAAAAAACAAACCCACAACCAAAAACCAAAGAAACCTGCGTACATTCCATGCCTAATTAAAGAGAGATTTGTAATTCCTTTCTGTCCCTACAAAATTTCTATTAAAAAATTCATGTTGTACTTCCAGTGTATAGCTCTTTCATCATTGTGTTTTCACATCACTCAGACCTCCAAAGTTCAGGCCTAGTTAATGAACTAAAATTATAAACCATTTCACACGGAGTTGAAGTGGAAGCAAACAAACAATACCGGCAGATTTACTAACCCTAAGTATCTTATTTAATTTCAGCTTAAAGACAGAAAATCTTTTCCCTGTATTAAAAAAAAAATCCAGTTTAAAGTGATATAATGCAAGCCAAGTAAAGAAACTGAAAATGGGCACAGCATTAGGATACTGAAATAAATAAAGATGCTTCTAATAACGTGTGTTAGCAAAACAATGTGAAAGTGAGATACAGAAAGCAGTCTACCACTATGACGCCATACCTAAAAGGATGTGTTGTTCACAAACTGATAATTTAGCTTTATAAAAGTCATCCTCTAGACGATTTGACAATTGTAGAAGAGATGTTGCATAGCCTTCCATTCAAATCCATTTAAAGCAGTTTTCCAGCATTAAAAACGTTCAATAAATTGAAACATGCTTTATACACTGTAACAGCCAAACTACTAACATATGGGAAAGCTGTGTGTGAAAAGGATTTTTATAGTACAAGTGTGTGGCTGGATAGTAAAAGAAAAAAAAAGGGACCTGAAAACTTCTGCTTAAACAATACAATATTTCTAGAAAAACAGCGATGAAAAATAAGTCTCGAAAACATGAGTCAGGTGATTTTTTTTTTCTAACTGCGCTTGAAGTCTTCAACAATGAAAAAAGGCACAGCTATTTCAAATAGCTGCAAAAGTTGAAGTATGCACAATCACTTTATCACTATCAACAACTACATCAGTGAAAAAAGTTAAGAAATCAGACTCCTGCCCAGTGGAAAAAAAATTAGATCTGCTCTTGCCTAAGTACTTTGTCTAAGAGGAGATTTCCTACCAGGTACAAACAACATCTTAAGACACTTTCAGGTTCCTTGCCGAGCACAGAAACGGAACAAGACTCTGTAACAGCAGCTGGCCGCACCTGCATACTGTATCAAAGCGTCAGCCCTGCTGTAATACGCAAGTATAAACAACGGAAGCGACACTATCCTACAGGTGAACTCCAAATCGCCATGTATCGGGGGCCTCGCTCCTCCCTTCCCTTCTGAAGCCCCGCCGCCCTCCCCAGAGACAGGTTAGCGGTACTCCCGCGGTATCGCCACGCTAGCCACGGGAAAGCAGGCCTGGATCCCAAAGGCGTGCCGGGGCTGGGCACCGCTTTGCTCCAGGAGGCCAGCGGGAACCCGTGTCGTCCTCGGAAGGGACCCAAGGGGGAGCCACGGGGAGGGCAGAGGCGGTGGCGAGGGAAAGCTCTGAGCGGGGGCAGAAGTAAACCTTCCCCCTGCACGATGGCAGCAACAGCCCGCGAGCCCTGCCCCAGCCCCA